AACATATTTATTTTTATCATAATATAAGAATTACCAGTGATAATGTTTTCCCTGTTCATTATTATAAGCTATAGTTATTAAAGTAAGATTATTCTGATAATTGTCATACTTTTGAGTAAGTTGGTTAACTTAATTTTATAAGGTATATCACTCTTGGATAATTTAATTAACTTGATTCTATAAGTTATCTTGTTCTTGAATAATCTGTATTGACTTGGTCTTAAAAATTATTTTGAATAAGCTGATTAACTTAATTTTGCAAAATGATATTTCATTGTCTATAGAAATTGACATTTGTTATAACTAGACTATTTGATTATCTCTGTCATTTCATTGAGCAATAACATCATCTATATTTTGAAATGTATTTTGATAATTAAGACATATATTATTTAAGAAACCTCTAATACTATTTATAATATTAATAGAATTATTTAATGATGTTTCAGCTTCTCTAATATAATTCTTAATATGATTTAAACCTCTATCAATTTGTATAAAAAAGTCAAGATTCACTATATCTATATCTTCCTCTTCTGAAATATATAAACTTGAAGAGCTTTTTTGAGAAAAAATAACTTTGAATCTGTGCCTTGGATTTTGAATCCACTCTTTCAATTTTTGTAATTGTTTCTCTATATTATTGATATAAGATATCTTATTTTAGATCTTTTTTTTAACTTGATATAAGCTTTTTTTGAGAAATGATATTTCTGATCTCAACTTTGTCTTTTTTTTCTCTGAAGTATTCCCAAGCTGTTTCAGTTCTTTATTAAGAGATTAAAGTTCATTTTTATACCAAATATATTTATATTCCAGATCCTTTATACATTTCTGTTCAAATTGTTGATAGCTACCTCTGATTGCAATATCTCTTGAAGTTCTTGATTAATTTGTTCTAACTCAAGTTCTTTATCCATAACTATTCTATGAGTTGTTTGATTGAAGGTTTGGATTTATGAAATGTCATGATTATTATAAAGTAATGAAACTCTGTCTTTATTTTTTATAGCATATTATATTGGCTTATTTCTTAACTTTGTTAAAACATAGTTTATTGCTATAGTAAAATATATTGAAAATAAGTAGATTCTTAGACCATGCTTCATATAAATTGAGCACATCTATTATTAGAATTGATTCAAATAAGAAATTAAACTTAATTTATAAGTTGCTTTTTTACAGATCTACTGGTTATCATTCCAATAGTTGAAAATTATATAAAGATCTCAATAAAGAACAATACCAATTTCTATTTAAAAAAGTTCATGAATAGTTGCATAATCAGAATGAGTGGCAAAAATATAAAAAAATTTCACATCCAAACTACATATATACAGTATATGTGATTTGTTGTGCTTTACAAAGGACACCATTAATAAAACGATATATAAATAGGCACTTACTATTATAGATGTTGCATCTCATTTTAAATAAGCTGTTTCTTTAACTTCAAAAACAGTTCAGAGATAGCCAAGGCATCTAAGAAAATTTATAACAATCCAAATATCACTCTTACCTAGTCCAATTTATTACAATCAGATAGTATTAGAGAATTTATAGATGAAACTTCAAAAATAATGGAAGTGCATAATGTTATAATCCAAGTTATAGGTTTGTACTCTTATTAAGGACTTGCAATTATAGATAGGTTTTGTAAAGCATTGATATAAATGCTATATAAAGTTTAATCTGCTATTAAAAGTATATCTGGAAATCCTAAATTAATAAAGGTATGGGTTAAATATTTGTTTATTAAAAGTTCTTGAATATTTGAATAATTATTCAATATGACTTATACAAGTGTCAGGATTAAAGAAATGAGGATTAGCGCCTGTGAAGACAATTGGATTAGATAGGGTAGAGTCTAGACCATCTATAAAATATAAACATTTAATTGGTAATGATGGAGAAAAATTAAAAAAGGAAGATACCATTCAATACTTATTTGCTAATGTGAAGTGGAAAAGAGATATAGAAAATCAAGAATATACAAAAAATGAATTTGGAGTCCTTCTTTATATAAAATCTACAAAATTATGGTAATGAAAAATAAACCAGTTTTATATTATTTAGATAGAGAATATACTCTATCATGTAGATTTGTAAGGGAAAAGCTCATGCATATAAATATTGATACACTTCAATACTCACCTCAGAGTATATTGAAAAAAAATACTCATTTCAGATCTATTAATTTTATCTGTATTATTAATAAAATGACTAAGGCACAAGTTTATGCTGAAAAACATAGTAGGGTATGTCTTGATAAAATTAATCAAATAAATAATTACAATGTATATCTCTGAACATGTGGATTCCATTAGTGATATGTATTTTATAAAATCCAGAAGTGAAATTCAAATAGTACACATTTTGTTTGTATTCTTTTACTAATGAATGCAAATATCGATATATTTTTGAGGATTTGTTAGATAAGAAATTTTCATCTTGTAAACCGTTATTTTTGAATGGGATATAATTAAACATATATAATAAAGAGGTAAAATTAACATTTGAATTTTAAGGTGCCCAATATTTTCGTGTTATCCAAAATACTTTCATTTTGATGGCAAGGTTAACCTAGATAGTCAACAGACGTGTGATCAAAAAAAGCAGGATGTATGCAAGAAGCAAGATATAGATCTTATTGAAATTAGTTATGATATTGATTTGTTTCCTTATATAAAAAGCAAATTACAAGAGAAGAATTATTTATCACATAAAGATAAATTCACAAATATAACTACTTATATTACATATTAAATTATATTCTCTATATCTCTCTAAAATTTTAATTGAAATTTTTTCATATCTTATCAAAGAAAAAGCATTATATCTGAACTTATTTGTTAACTGGTTATAGTATTTATGTTCTACCTCAATATTATGAAGAAAAGCTGAATTTATTAGTGACTTAAGTTCTCAAAGAAAGTCCTACCTATAGAAAAATCCATGTATACAGTGAAATAAATTCAAAAAGATAATACGTAGAAATAAAAAATCTCACGCTTCATATTTACTTCAACTTTATCTCTCTAGATGCAAGATCTTTACTAATGTATTATATAAAATTACTAGATTCTGTCATAATTTATGTCACCTAAAGATTAAATGGTATTGTGGTTTATTTGATGAGTCATTAGTAAGATTGCACAAATTTGTTCTTTGGAATTTTTCAGCATTTCGTATAATAGTAAAGGTATAAAACAAACTAGTAAATTTTATAATATAATACAGTATATACAGTTTTATGTAAAATTACAAATTCATGTTCAAATCTATAACACTTAAAACTTGGATCTTATAAGATAACTGATATATTATTGAGAACAGTTGCTCAATTATATATTAATTTGCATTGCTTAAAATTAATTATAATAAATATATTACTGATATATCTATAGTCTTAATTGCACAAAACTGCTCAAATTTAGAATATCTTGATTTATGAAAAGTAATATTACTGATGTATTATTAAAACAAATTACTAAATCATGTTCAAAACTTTACAGTTTAAGTTTAATTGAATGCCAAAAAATAACTGATGAAGGTATATATATAATTGCTAAAGTATGTCTGAATATGCAAAAATAAATATTGAAAGAATGTGAAGAGATTATTAATATAACAGTTAAAAAAATTGCACAATCCAATCCAAATCTAATTTTAGTTGATGCATTGTTCTGATGAATCCATTTGTGCAATAGCACAATCATGCTCAAAACCTGAACAGCTTTATCTTGAGGGATGTAACATTACCAATATATCTATGTTTACATTAGTGAATTTGTATAATCTCCAAAAACTTAATATTGAGGATTGTGAGAAAGTTAGCACAAATGCAATTATAACCTTGCAAAATAAAAATCCTACTCTCAATATTATCAGTTGGTATTCAGATGCAAATAGTGGATTGGGTATATCATTATAGATTTGAAAAACAATTGCTCTGCAGGCCCAAAGGGGTGACCTTAGACACAAAGTGTCATTTCTTTGAAATAAAGGGTCATAAAAAATGATCCAGCGTTTTTAACACATATATAGTAATAAAGATCATTATTTTTCATGTATAAGAATTAGTGACTTAGCTAGATCAAGATGAAAATAGAAAAGCTTGACCCTGTTGAAAGGATGGTTCTGAATATTGACAGATACAAAAATATAGAGAGATTTAACGGCCTTAATAGTACATCTCAATGGCCTTTCAACTTATTGATTTTGGGTGAACCAGATCAGGAAAAACTAACGAAGCCATCAACCTTTTACTTGAAAATAAAATGTATCGATTGTTTAGTGGGAAAAAAGGTGGAATGAGATTGATCGTTCGACATTGTTTTATTACAAAATAGGATATATTCAAAAGGTTAACCGCGCAAAAAGAATATTTTTAAAATCGCATTGCTTTATTGATTGTAATAAAATAAAAAATAATCAAATCTATCTATTATTTATATACTATCGTCTACACCATAAGTTTTCGTTCGTCTAAACTATATACATTAGCACATTATCTCAATGTTAATTATAATCTGATTTCGTTTGTTATCGATGTTCTGAATAAAATAAAAATGTTTACTAGTTATATCTGTACGAAATATGCAGTGACAACAATCCCACAAATTTGTTATACTCATTTTGTTGGTGAATATATACCAGTTGGTCGTTACCGGTTATCTCAGGTGATTTCATATTTTCTATCTCCTGGCTGGATAAAAATAATAATTTAATAATATAATTAATAATTTTGTATGAGTTTCTTGTTCATAATGTACTCTGTTCTATCAGCAACTATTGCTTTTCTTTTTTTTATTAATCTCCATATTAATAGCATAATTTTTAGCACATGAATTTGATCGGAAATCTAGGTAACTGGAAAGTAGACATTACAGAATTATTTTTTCCTGTCAAATGTTCATGATAAAAAAATTAGAAAAATACTTTCCATAGAAGCATGATTTCACGATTTAATTATTGGCAGAGGTTGCAATCATTTTTAGGCTTATATGTTAAAACAATATGAAATTTATGTGTGTTTAGTATATGATATAGAAGTAAAAGTCAACACAGCCGGTGTTGAAGCGTATCCATCTGGTCGAGCGCAGTCATTCGCAGGTGGACTCCCAATTGGTAATAAACGTCCCTGCTATCCAGATGGATGAGCTCAGTCTTTTCCCGACCTTCAACTTAATACCTAGCAGACACTTGCGCAGGGTTTATGATTTTCATTTTAATCCGCAGAATACAAGTGAATTAAGCTCAGTTTTTTCTGCTCGAGTAAGCCAGCTGTGTTTTTATAGCGAAATAGATAATATAATAAATTTGATACTTAGGTAGAACAAGTCCAAACAGTTTATATTAAGGCGTGAGAGGTTGGTAATAAATATAACGCAGAGATTTCGTTTTTGATAGATCTATGATTATTTTTTGATAAATCATGTGACAAAATATGATGCATCTATGAATAAATAAACATTACATAATCAGGATAGTTACTTCATCGAAATGACCGAAACGCGTCGAGAGAAACAAAAAAGTTTCTTGCTAAATCACATAGATCCTCGTCCCTCTAATTTTTATAAGAGGTTTAATTATCGTAGTCGTTCAAAATGCTCACCGAGATTATGAATTACGACTAAGGCAGGCTTTGCAAGAAACTCCACAATCAGAAAAATTATTAAATTTAAAAAGAGGCTGGGAAAGTCACGAATACGATGAAGACTGGGCTTGGTATGAGGATGAGAAAATTATCCGGAAAGCTGATGTATGTTAATTTTTACTTAAACTTTGCAAACTGAGCTGATACTCACAAAAACCAACATCGAATAATAGAAAAAAGTAAAGAGAGGGAAACTCAAGGCACATGTTGCATTTAATGAAAATTTGGATGAAAGGCCGAACATTAAAAAGCCATCTGACAAATTGGCATCATCTTCTAAAGATCATGGTGAAGTCCCAAAGAAAACTACCAATAGACAGTTCAAAAACCAAATCGGTGACACCAATAATAAGGAGAATGAGGATGGTATTGAAGAAGTTAACGAAGTAAGCAACTAGTAACAGAATTAAACCAAAAGTTTTTGTAAATCATTGATCCTTCACTGTGCAGATAAGGTAAAAAATACTGATTAATATTTTCACACAAATTACGTAAAGGGAGGTAAGTAATCGTTGATTACAATTGATTGGCCGGGAATGCGCACAGTTTAATTAAAAACCCGGAAAAATATTAACCAATCAGATCACGTCTAGATCGACATAGAAGTTCGTGGAACATGCGATTAATCCTTATTTTTTCATTTATAAAACTTCTCTATTCTATACATGCTATTGTGATAAGAACCGGCGAAAATGAAACTCGAAAAGGCAATAATGGTAAAGAGCTCGTTGATTCCTATCAGTACCGTTATCAGAAATTAGGAGTTATGGGGCTTCGAAATCTCCGCAATTCCGGATCGACGTTGCGATTAACCAACTTCGCGTGATCGTCACCTCAAAAGGGTTTCATCCATGCGTCTATAACTCAAATGCTCTGCATATTGGCGTTAATTGTATATGGCATCACTTTCTATGGAGGTTGAATCATAACAGGTTTGGTATTTTGTACCTGCCTATGTTAGAGATCGTGCTTGCTGTATTAAGAATGGGAGATTCGTTGATAAAATTTAGCGAGCTCGAGATTGAGGTTGAGGGAAATATAAATAAGCAGATTTTAGGGAGGTTTTGTTTTTCAGGATACTTCATATCCCGTACAACCCTTATAGCACTCTGTATTAACTTATACTAAAGGTACGTGTTATCTCTTAAAGAAAGTATGTTAATAACTAGGTTCAAAGTAGAATCTCACTAATTACTATGGATCTTTATTTCCAGGAAACGTAAAATGGTTGTCATTACTCTCAGTTGTCTTGTCATTCCCACTGGTTCATTTATTGGTATTCCACGTAGTGATGCTAATTTTGAAATTACGATTTCCCAAGGCGCAGGGGTTTCCAATCTTAGAACTCAAATCCAGGATCATCCGAGTCAATTATCATCTCCATATAATAAAGTTGTTTTTTCTCTTCGTGCATTTCGTCCTATGCCTTTAGATTATCTAACCATGTCAGATAATAAGTCAATTTCTAATTATTTTCCGGAAGAAAAAGATCTTCCACAAAATGTTTACCACATTCTCATTAATAGATTGTAAAAGCGATATATATCTAATAAATTCATCTTCTATATCTGCCTTACTACGGGCGATGATTTTTGTTTAGTAATAAAGCAACGACGTATTAGTCGTGATTTCAGCGGTTTAGATCCTCTCCTGATCGTTCGTGTAACTTCTCAAATAAATATAAAAACCACAGATCACCCAAAAACAGATGCGATAAAATTTTTTATTATTCACTTGCATCGCATTACCTAGCTTTTCTCGGCGGGATACATAAACCAGATTTTACAAATGTTCACGTATAAAAGCAACATCATGTCTTCACCCAGCGCTTCTTCACCTTCCTCACCAATCTCCACATCCTCTACTTTAACGGAAGAAAGGTCAACTCGTACGATGGCAGACGTGGTTAAAAATTATAACACGGAGGAGCTTATCGACTATTTGCGTAGACAGAACTTGAATCTCGATAACCATTCTTCGCAAGCGGAAAATTGATGGCTTCGCTTTTCTTGAGTTAACAGAAGATAAACTTGAACGCTGTGGATTTGAGATAGGTCCGGCTATAAAGCTTGCAAAATTTATCGAGGGTCTATATCATAAATTGCGAAGCTTCTCGTCGTATAAAACTCTGGATGAACTAAAGGATGTGCTCCGCAAATATAAGGTCAATGGTGAGGATATAACATGCATCAAGCAATTCAATCCAGGTATGTTATATTTTTTTCTTGGCATTTTTCTGGGACCGCCGGTCTCGCAAATTTCTTGGCAAAATTCATTATTAAAATTCCAGATATGTATTAATTTATTTTTCCATTGTACAGTATTCGAGGAAGTCGATGACGACGACAAAGCACTAGATCAGTGCATGAATGAAATAACGTTGAGACTTTCGAATCTGGAAACAATGCAAGATAGTACCAATGAAGCCACGCGTTGTGTATTTATTACATCTATATTAAACGCATCTCTGGCTATCGTCCGACGAATTACCAAGGGAGAAAAAATCTATATAACATATCAAAAAGGAGTTTCCGGTGAGGAGGCATCTGGTCGTGTCGACTATGCCATAAAAGGAAACGAGGATCTTATGTGTATAGCAGAAGGAAAGCCTCGTAACGTCGAAATCGGTTATCTTCAGATATCATGCAACTAGAGAGTGCGTACCATACAAACAAAAAGAAACGTACAGCAGATGAAGCATTTCGAGATGATTATTATGACTATCTTTACGGAATAGTCTCTACAGGTATTGATATTCAACCATTCCCATAATAGATTTTCTGACCATCAGCTCTTCTGATTTACAAATTTATTTATTTTAGCCACAGAATGGCATTTCATCGTCTTTGCTACAAATGGTATTTATTGTACCAGCAAAAGCGAGTATCGGATCAATTTATCCAAAACGGCATTGAAGGAGGATCTTGAATCAATCAGGAAGGGTGTGAAGCAAGTGTTAGGTGTTATTGTTGGGTTATTGAAGGACCGAATTAGTGTTGATAATTTCCCAACTAATAAGAAGGCTAGGATCAAGAAATTCACAAAGTAATAAATAGATAGATTTCTCGCTCACATGTATTTTTTATTGCATTAGCATATGCTAGCCTACGACTAATAAAGAAAAAGCGATCTCCATATTTATGGATGTACAACTTCGCTGATTAATGTAGACCCTTTAGGTCATGATTCAAAGAATCGCCTAACGGCCTGCTCTGCAATAATTTCGGACTATATACTAATTTTGATTTAGCTCTTGTACGTAGAAAATACAGTACATAGGTACAAAGAGAATACCTGTATATACCAAAAAATGGTAACTGAGAAAGCACCCAAAGAATCACCTACCTCCAAAAGTAGTGCTGATGCTGAAATTTTCCAACTTGAAGCACTTTCCTTAAATTACCTATGATGATGGCCACATTCCAAAACTTCACCCATGTAAACTCTGTAATAAAGCCATACTTAATTTCTGATTCGAAGCATTTACAATACTAGCTTGTGGTCATATACTACACCGTTTGTGTATCAAGAAGCATATTATGAAAGGAGGGGTGCGAAGACCTTCATGCCCAATCTGTAATTGGGATGTCGATATTAATAGAGAAGAACTTGCCCTAGCTTTAGGTAATGTATCATACAGCGTCTAATGATCATGATAAGGGACAAGCTTCCCAACAATCGAATGTAACCATCACCGATGAAGACGAATATGAGATTATGTGAAGTATAGGGTTAATAGAGAGGATGAAGTTACAGTTACAGCTGAGTAAGCAAAACAAGTTAATACAGAGGATCATGGAACAAGCCCGATCGATACTCGATTTATTGATTATTGAGATCTTAAAGGTTTTGTGGAAAAAGTCATTGAATTGGTTGAGGAACCTTATTCCAAATTTATTAATATTGGACTTTACAAATTCCACTTTAATCTTCGGCTCCTTGGATCAGCAAAAGAAGGATGTATCAAATGACCAGCTATTTTCTCTGTTAAAAATGGATTTCAAAAACTAGAAGATTATTTGATTCAACCAAAATCAGATTATTCCATGATTTGGCCACGAACCTTTTCTTTTGAGGAGCCAATAAAAGAAGAATCTCAACTTATTGATGATGAAAATGCTTTGAGTAAAGGAGCTAATCTAGTTATTGAAAAATATGGGTGGCTTCAGATTGGAAAAATTGGGCATGGTTTTATTAATTTTCAAGCACAATCCATTAAAGAATACCCTATATGTGACATTAAACATGATAAAGATCAACGCTATGGATTTATTCGAAAAAATGGGTATTTCATACTCAAGTGTTATTGGCAAAAACAATACAAACCAGATCACAAGGGCCTTAGCTTCGACAAGATATCAGATAAAGTCGAGTTGAAAGAAAAGTCCAAGAAGTAAAGATTATGTGAAAGATTACCCAAAGCTCTATTAACTCCATATCAATTTCCCAAAATATCTGGAGAAAGTATTAATGTAAAAGAAATGGAGGATGCTATAAATGCTTTTCCAGACTTTTTAAGTGAAGAGCCTAGTACCACTCTTATTCGTTTTACTGTAGGTACTGGAAAAATGAAAACATTAAGAAAAATTTTGACATCTTTAGCTCAAAGTGGTACCAATTTACATTGTACTATCTGGATATCATATCACAAAACTCTTAGCAATGAATCTGAAGCTAAACTTAAAGAATTGAAAAAATTCGATTTCAAAGTAGGGCAATATTATAATATTGTGGCTGACCTAAAGACACATGAGTGGGATCTTATTATTGTACAAGTTGAAAGTGTTCTTCGTCTTGATTTTCAAGGGGATCATTTCTGTTCTGTATAGCAATTTTAGATAAAGCGAATGCCACTATGCATCAAATGGCTAGTGGAGTCCATGCTCGGGAATCTTTCAATGCTATACGTGATTTGTTAAATGTAGCTACTCATGTTGTTGTTATGGATGCTTTTGCAAATGATTCGACTTTAGCTTTCTTAACATCATATTAAGGTAAGAATGATCGAGTTATTGATAATAAATATCAACCACGTAAAGGAGAGATTGTTAAATTTCTTTACGATCCAGATAAAGATTCAGAAGCTATACACAGAGGTTTTAGAATGCTCCAAGAAGGTAAGCATGTTGTATTTGTAATAACCTCATGTAAAAAGGCTCGAGCCTTAGATAATCAAGCATTTAAATTGCAAAAACTGGATGGTTCCTTCATTTTATCATGAGTTTATTTTGGTTAAATGGATGAAAAACAACGCCAAGATGATTTTGCTAATATTAATACCACCTAGAACACTCTTGACTGTATAATTTATATAAACACCATAGAAGTTGGCATCTTCTTTGAAATACCTGATTATTTTGATACAGTTATAGGAATTATAAATATTGCTACTCCCATC